ACCACCAGGGGGAAGACACTCAACCCAGGAGCTGTCCGGTGGTGGTCAGTGCGCTCCCACAGGGAGAGTGCCTCTCAACGAAAGCTGGGCTCACAGCTGGCGAGCACAGTGGTAGTGGTGGGAGCCTCTCCTGCCTCTGAGGCAGCCCTAAGGATGTCCGACAGTCGGCTCAGTCTTGCTCCCCGTGGAGAGCGGGCCTAAGCCATCAGTCGGACATCCCCTGAGGGCTCCCGGACTGTGAGAGGGTGCAGGCCAGGCTAAGTGACCCCCCTGAGGGCAAAAATTTCGTGCACTAGGCCTCTAATATAAAAATAAATTGTAAAACTTCTGGTTACAGCCCTGATATGTACAGAGCTTAGAAGATGTCATTCCCGTTGTTAGAAGAAGAAAAAGATGACTAAACTGAAAATCAAAGACTTTTTGTGAAAACATCAGGATAGTGAGGTGCAGAATGTGTTGGCACCCTACAATATGAGAAGAAAGGCAAATCCAGAGTCACAACTGAGGTATGCTCACCTGGAGCAGAAGCCTCTTAAATCATAATTGATTAAAACATTTAAATGATAGTGATCATGCATTACTAGAAGCTGAGTGTGCAATAACATGAGAGTGAGAAGATCCTAGGGGCCACATACTTCAGGGTGTTTACATCCAGGAACCCCATTTGGTTCTCCCAGTGAAGATCTGAAAAAGCATCCCTTGTGCCTCTGACAGAGAAAGAGGGATTATTATAAAATATGCCCAGAGCCTTCCCCATAATAAGGCTTACTCTTCAAGTGAAAAGACTTTACCAGAGCTTATCCCAGCTGGGGAAGGACATTCCTCCTACTTTACTACCTCTAGCCTCCTGGTTTCACATAAGTAGATTAAAAAATTATCAAAGTTAAACCATTGGAAAACACAGGTAATAATAGACCCAGAGATAAAGATACACTAAAAGACTGAGATTTACTAGTAAGTATATGACTGTGGAATATGTTCCCTCCCCCTCTCCTAACCAGCACACTACCAGAAGACAAGGATAATCACTGTGAATTACAACAGAGAGCTGCAGGTATGAGGAATGTAGTAACTCTAGTATCCTCACAATTTTTTGTAAATCTAAAGTGTTCTAAAATACAAAGTTTATTTTAAAAACAATTGTATTTTCATATTCAAAAATAGACCATCTGAAAGTGAAATTTTAAATTCCATTTACAACAACATAAAAAAATAGGAAATACTTAGGGAAAAATATGACCCCAAAAAGCTTAAGACTTGTACACTAAAAATAATAAGATAACCTATGGCCGTGGTCGGCAAACTGTGGCTCGCAAGCCACATGTGGCTCTTTGGCCCCTTCCACAAAATACCACGTGCGGGCGCGCGTACAGTGCGATTGAAACTTCGTGGCCCATGCCCAGAAGTCGGTTTTCAGCCTGGGCGAGTCTATTTTGAAGAAGTACTGTTGATATTTGGCTCTGTTGACTAATGAGTTTGCCGACCACTGACCTATGGGAAATTAAAGATCTAAGGAAAAGAAAAGACATGCTGTGTTCATGAATGGAAACACTTGATATTCTTTAGATGTCATTTCCCCAATTTCAATCAAATTCCAAATCAGGCTGTTTTTATATGTATGAAGCTAATTAAAATGCAAAGTAACTACAATAGCTAAAAGAACTTTGAGAAAGAACAAAGTTGGAGGACCAGCATGACCTAATTTGAAGGCTTAAAACAGAGTAATCAGGAGTGTTGTATTTGGCATCAAGATATATAAATATGTTCATCAAACAAAACAGACAACCAAGAAACAAACCTACACATATATGGACAACTGACTTTCTACAAAGGTGGAAAACAATTCCATGTAGAAAGGATAGTTTTTCAACTAAATATCCATATGCAAAAAAGTAAACTTTGATGTATATCTAGTACTATACACAAAAAGTAACTTGAAGTGGATCACAGATGTAAATGTAAGAAATAAAACTACAAAACTGCTACAAGAAAACATGGGAGAAAATCTCAGTTACCTTAGGCTTAATGATTTCTTTAAAAGAACACAGAAAGCTAGAAATGAATTTCTGAAAATCAATAAATTTTATTTAATCAAGAACATATACTCCTTAAAAGACACTGTTAAGAAAATAAAAAGACAAGCCAGAGACTGGGAAAAATATTTGCAGAACACATACCTGACAAAGGACCAAAAATCTTTCACGACTTACTAATGATATAAATAACTCAAAGTTTGCAAAAGATTTAAACAGATACTAAGGAAAGAAAGTATATATATATAGCCCATAAGCACATGAACAGATGCATGAAATCATTAGTCATTAGGAAAGCAAATTAACCACAATACATACCTATTAGAATAGCTAACATTAGATTCCGCACACCAAGTGTTGGTGAGGATATGGAACAACTGGAACACTGATACACTGGTGGTGCAAATGTAAAATAAAATAGTGCAACCACTTTGGAAAAAAGTTTACAGATTCTTCCAAAGTTAAACAAATATCCATCACATGAGTTAATCACTCTATCTACTCTTCAGTATTTATCCAAGAGAAATAAAAGCATTTGTCCATACAAAGACTCACAGAAGAACATTCAAAACAATTATATTTGTTTAGCCCAAACAGCAAACAACGAAAATGTCTATGTGGTATATCCATACAATGGAATACTATTCTGTGACAAATAGAAATAAGCTCTTTATTGTAAATCTCAGAATAGTTAGGGTGTGTAAAAGTAGCCTGACAAAAGAATGTATACTCTGTGATTTCATTTATATAACATTTAAAAAAATACAAACAAGTTCTTATGATGGACAGCAAATCAGTGGTTGCCTAGGGATTATCAAGGTAGGGTGAGGTTATAGAAGGGTATGAGGAAACTTTTGGGAGTGCTGGCTAGGGCTACTATCCTAATTGTGGGATCATTTTAAAGGTACATAAAGATGTCAAATCTGACGAAATTTCAATATCAGTAAAACAAATGTACACCAAAAAAATCTCCAATTACACATCTATCTGTTAGAATCTATTCATATATATAAAAGCCTAAGGGACCAGTCGACCAGTCACTATGACCACAAGAGGGCAGATGCTTAATTCAGGAGCTGCTCCATGGTGGTCAGCGGTTCCACAGTGGGAATGTCTCTCAACTCACTGACGGGCACCAGACGCCAGGCTCATGGCTGGCGAACGCTGCTGAGCCTCTCCTGCTCGGGACTAACTGGGCACGAGCCAGCGGCAGGCACAGCAGGGCTAGGTGACTGGGGGCAGCGTGGCGCCCGGCCTGGGCTTGGCTCCTCCCCGACCACCTGCCGCAGCCCAATCCCCACAGGCCACGCTGAGGGACCCCACGCTCCGGGCCTCTAGTATTTTAATAACCTACTAAAGCTGAAACCGGTTTGGCTCAGTGGATAGAGCGTCGGCCTGCGGACTGAAAGGTCCCAGGTTCGATTCCGGTCAAGGGCATGTACCTGGGTTGCGAGCACATCCCCAGTAGGAGATGTGCCGGAGGCAGCTGATCGATGTTTCTCTCTCATCGATGTTTCTAACTCTCTATCTCTCTCCCTCCCTCTCTGTAAAAAATCAATAAAATATATTTTTTTAAAAAATAATCTACTAAAATGTTTTCAAAGAACTTCTAATGACTTGGGAAAATGCTTATGGTCTACAATTGAGTGAAATTCCTTAAATATATAACTTAATATACGAGGTCAATTACATCGAAAGGTTATGTACACACAGGTAAAAATATATCTGGTTAGAAACAGATGTAGATTACTAAAAGTCTTCCCTGGGGTATGGACTAATGGGTGATTTAAATTTTCTTTACACTTCTCTCTATTTCCCAAGGTTTTCTTTGTTGATGCTGTTTTATTTTATTATCATTTTTAAAATAAGTTTTCATTGATTTTTAGAGGGAGAAAAAGACAGAGGAATAGCAACATCGATGAGAGAGGAACATTATTGATTGGCTGCCTCCTGCATGCCCTCTACTGTGGATCAATTCCGTAACTGGGGCATGTACACTGACTGGGAATCGAACCTGGGACATCTTGGTTCCTGGATTGACACTCAATCACTGAGCCACACCGGCTGGGCTTGATTATTATTTTTATTTTACCTGAGATTGCAAATGTCTTTTTATGCAGGAAATTAAAGAAAAAGTGAAGGGAAGAATTTGAGTGATTATCTATCCAGACAACTGATTCCAACATAGGCATCACAGACCCTTAAAAGATCACAGAGAAGACTCTGGGAGCTCTTACATGAACCAAGTATTATCTGTAACTTAGTAATTTGTTTCACACTCACATGAACTATTATTTTTTCAAATAGATCCCCTGAAATTCAACCTTACTGAATCTGTACAACCTCTATTTTCCACATCAATAGGTACCAAAAGTAAAAAACAAAACAAAAACCTACTAGCATAGAGGTCCTCAAAAATTAATTCCCTTCTATTTATTGCCTGCAGGCTGCTTTACTGGAATGTCTTCTGCTGATGCACCGTATGTAGGATGGGCTAAGCAGTGTCATTCACATTCAGTTAATAAGTTCCATTACATGTTCCTATTTCTCTGCTATGACTTTTCCTTTATTCTAAGCTGCTTTCAAACCTGTGCTGTGAGTGTTCTTACACTGTTCAGACCCCAGAACATAATTTGAGTTATAAAGGTAAATTAGTAATCAAATGCTAAAGTGAAAATTGCACTGTGCCCAGAATGGCTTTGTAAAAGCTATTTTAGTTAAACATTCAGGCTTTCTCCTTATGTGAGCTGAGATTACTAAGTTTGAGTCTGGTTAGGTGTGGCATTACCAATCTGCGCTTGATCATGGGGAAATCATTTAATGTATGCTGAGACTTCTACAACTGCTTCGTAATAATCTTCCCCTCAATTAAAGTCAACAAATAACTTAATTACCATTATAAAATATACTACAAAAAGCAGAGTCATTAATAATAAACCATTCGTTGTTCAAAGGCATTTAGTTTACCTCAAAGAATTATTCTCTGCTTTTTGCCTGCCAAGTTCACTTTCGGTATCCATTGCCTTTCTTGCTAGTGATTTCATTTCTTTCTCCACAGTGGTTATGGTCTCCTTCATCAAAGTCATATTTGACATTTGCTCCATACGTTCATCATCAAGCTACACAAGTAGAATGACAAGATTACTGCTCCCCTATCTACTGCATTTTTTACTCATTATAAAAACATAGTACAGATGAATTTATAAATGCATACAATTAAATTTGCTAACAGAAAGTCAAATTCCATTAATTCTGTTTATATAGTCATAATATTTCAAATATAGCATCTCAAATCCTTCATTAATAAAAAAGGTGATGCCTCACATTTAAATTCAGTTTACATATATTTTTCTCATTCGTTTTCATTTCACCATCATTTTCTCTACTCTAGCTACTCTTTAGGTAAGATAATCCAGTTTCCCTGTATCTGGAAATGTTCTCTTTAATGAAATACAGAGATGAAAATTGTGCTAAAATCCCTGAGAACGCATCCCTGATGTTTTTTTTAAAGCCATTTTGCAACCTAACGTGAAAAATATTATACTCACATTTTGAAAGGAATATAGATATATATATTGTAAAATATATATATTGTAAACTTCACCTTCAGTATTTTAGGATTAGAAACCCTATCACAGAAAAATAAAAGAACCTCTCTGGACATAGTAAAAAAGGAAAAGGGAAAGTCACTGACAGTTTATGGCCAAAAGTACAAAAGTAACTTTTCTTTACATTATGAACTGTACACTCCAGCTCCTCTATCCTCTGTTCCAAGTGAGCTTTCTCATTAAATGCTGTCTCTTGAGCAATCTGGTTAAAAAAACAAAAACAAAACAAAGCACTTTCAATGTCACTGTGTCGTGTTTCACAAATGTTCACATAGATAAAATTCTCTCAAACCTTTAGCCTTTCCCTCAGACTATCTCGTTCTGTGGTCATTCTTCGTAAATCAGTGAAGGCTACATCTCTTTCAGTCTCCACCCGCCGGAGGATGGCATGTGCAGTTGTTGATTTAGGAGACTTACAGCTCTTCATCATTTCTCGGCGAAGCCGGGCAATTTCTTCCTTCGCCTATTTTTTAAATACATAGACAGACTCCTGTTTAACAAGCTTTAGAACAGACATAAAATAGCTATTTACATCCAGCCAGTTATAATCCAAACATATTATCAACAGCTATGGAGAATACTTGTATAATTGTGACTTTATCCAAATAAATGCAAATGATGCCCCCCAAATAAGAATGGTATATACAAATAGAAATTTGGTATATAATATCTTTGCCCAAAAATTTTAAAAATTAATTTGGGGGCAGTCAATACAAGATAAATTATACCATATATATGGTATATTCCATCCATGTTGTGATATAAACATGAATTCAGCACAATTCAGGTAGAATAAATATTATCATAGTGTTACAGTCTTTTTCTACATAAATGTATATGCCATAGTCATGAACTAGATACCTTTACCTTGACAGAAAGGCCCACCAATCTTTAATGACAACCCAATATACTCTCTACATGCTATTCAACCATCCTTGGTTCTAAATCTATTCTATGCCTTCAGATGATTTCATATCCTACTTTGGCGTTTAAGCACGTATCTTCCTTCCTCTCTATTGTAATCACTATCTATTCAGTTAGTCTCCAAGTCTCAGAGGAAAATATGTTACTTCCCAATTTCCATAGCTAAGCCTTCACCAGAATCCTGGACCTCATCTCCTGAAGTGTCTTCTAAGATATCCCTGACTCAACTATAATCATTTCCTCTCACTTTGAGTAGCACTCTCTGCACTGGCTCTTTCTCCCCTGCCTTCAACCATGCACAGGGCTCCCATATCTTGAAAACCTGGCACTTAATCCTGTTGTGCCCATTTACCTTTGACTCTCCTTTGTTTTAGTGTCTGTACCATGGCCTGTTCCTTACTACCCACTTTCTCACCCCACTGTAACCTGGCTTCCACAAGCACTATTTGCAGAACTTCAACTAATGACCTCACCAAATCTAATGGCCTTTTCTTGTTTTTTGTTTTTGATACTTTGGCAACATTTGACATTGTTTTCAACTCCCTCCTTGATATTTCTCTCTCCCTTGGTCTTATAATATTGTTCTGCCTTCGTTTCCTGTCTTCTTTCTCTTTCCAATCCAATAAAACTTCCCCCAATCCTCTATTTACAGCTTTCTCATTCAGAGACCTCATCTACTCTGAAAGCCCAAAACTCACCTCTAGGCAGATGATTTCTAAACAGAAATATTCATCCCACATTTCTTACTGCCTGATGGCCATTCCTACCAGAATGTACTCCATCTGTCTGAACAAAACACATCTTTTCTATCAAATCACCAATGACTTCCCTATTTCTTTTTCTATTACCACATTTCTTCAGTCATTCAAAACAGAACTTCAGACATTTCCATTCTCCCTCCTTTTGGCTCTAATCAAATCTGGTCAAGTCTTCCTTGATGGCATCCTAGCTTAGTCCCTTAATGCCTCATGTATGGACTACTACAACGGCCTTCTAAAGAGTCCATGGATTTTCTCTCTCCAGTTCTTTTGAAGGAGAAATCTACATATATAAAAGGCTAATATGCAAAGTGTCCCCTTGGGAATTAGACTGGGAGACTGAGAGTTGGATCGCTCGCTATGGCGTGCACTGATCACCAGGGGATCGGGGGAGGTGGTGGTTGTGGGGCAAAGAATGAAAGAAGGTCCTGGCTGGCAGCCAGAAGACCCCGATTGGCCCTGATTGCTGGCTAGGCCTAGGGAACCTACCTGTGCACAAATTTTGTGCACCAGGCCTGTAATTATTATATTAAAAGATAATATATAATGCAAAAAATTAAATCAGACCACCAACTTACACCATACACAAAAATAAATCCTAGAAGAAACCATTGGCAGCAAAATCTCAGGTATCTCATAGCAATATGTATATGGATACATCTCCTAGGACAATGAAAACTAAAGAAAAAATAAACAAATGGGACTACATCAAAATAAAAAGCTTCTATACTGCAAAATAAACCATCAACAAAATAATAAGAGAGCCCACTTCATGGGAGAACATACTTGCTAATGAAACATCTGATAAGGGATTAACTTCCAAAATGTATAGGGAACTCATACAACTTAACAAAAAGAAGACAAATAATCCAATTAAAAAAATGGGCAAAGGAACTAAATAGACACTTCTCCAAAGCGGACATACAGAAGGCCAAAAGGCATATGAAAAAATGCTTAAAGTCACTAATCAACTGAAAGATGCAAATTAAAACGACAATAAGGTATCACCTCACACCTGTTAGAATGGCTATCATCAACAAATCAACAAATGACAAGTGTTGGCAAGGATGTGGAAAAAAAGGAATTCTTGTGCGTTGTTGGTAGGAATGCAAACTAGTCCAGCTTCTGTGGAAAACAGTTTTTGAGTTTCCTCAAAAATTAAAAGTGGAACTTTCCATTTCCATCCAGTCATTCTATTTCTAAGAGTATATCCCAAGATTTCAGAAACACTCATCAGAAAGAATATATGCACCCCTATGTTCATAGCAGCACAATTTACAATAGCTAAGATTTAGAAACAGCATAAGTGCCCATCAGCAGATGACTGGATTAAAACTGCGGTACATCTATTCAATAGAATACTATGCAGCTGTGAAAAAAAAGAACTCTTATCATTTGCAACAGCATGGATGGACCATGAGAGCATTAGGCTAAGCGAAATAAGCCAGTCAGAGACAGATAAATATCACATGATCTCACTCATATATGGAATCTAATTAACAACATAAACTGATGAACTAAAATAGACCCAGAGATATAGAAACATCAAACAGACTGTCAAACCTCAGAGGGAAAGCAGGGGAGGATGAGGTGGGGGGGAAGAGATCAAACAATGAAATCATATGCCATATGCATATATGCATAACCATAAACACAGACAATAGGGTGGTGAAGGCCTGGGGAAGAATAGGGGTGTGGGGGAAAAGGGGGTGGGAGAGGTCAATGGGGGAAAAAGGGGACATATGTAATACTTTCAAAAATAAAGATTTTTTTTAAAAAAGATAATATATAAAGATTGTACATGAGATAAATGAGACAATATAGAATTCTTAGCAGGTTAAAATTTTTAAAATGTGGCTTTAGTCATATTTCTTTTTTTAAATTTTCATTATTGATTACGGTATTACTTATGTGTCCTTACCCCCCCCCCCATTGCCCCCACACGCGCTCATGCCCTTACCCTCCTGGTGTCTGTGTCCATTGGTTAGGCTTATATGCATGCATACAAGTCCTTTGGTTGATCTCTCGCCCTTACCCCCACCCTCCCCTACCTTCCCTCTGAGGTTTGATTGTCTGATTGAGGCTTCTCTGTCTCTGGGTCTGTTTTTGTTCATCAGTTTATGTTGTTCATTATATTCCATAAATGGGTGCGATCATGTGCTATTTATCTTTCTCTGACTGACTTATTTCACTTAGTATAATGCTCTCCAGTTCCATCCATGCTGTTGGAAATGGTAAGAATTCCTTCCTTTTTACAGCAGCATACTATTCCATTGTGTAGATGTACCACAGCTTTTTAATCCATTCATCTGCTGATGGGCACTTAGGTTGTTTTCAGATCTTAGCTATGGTAAATTGTGCTGCTATGAACATAGGGGTGCATATATCCTTTCTGATTGGTGTTTCTGGCTTCTTGGGATATATTCCTAGAAGTGGGGTCACTGGGTCAAATGGGAGTTCCCTTTTCAGTTTTTTGAAGAAACTCTATACTGTTCTCCACAGTGGCTGCATCAGTCTGCATTTCCACCAGCAGAGCATGAGAGTTCCTTTTTCTCCGCATCCTCTCCAGCACTTTCCACATTTCTTCTGCTTTAAAACAAAACAAAACTATCCATTCGTTGCTTATAAAGCAAAGTATAAACTCCTTGTAATGCCCTGTGTACAGGCTCCATTATATAGTCCAGAAGCTGGTAAACTACACTGGCTCATAGTCCCAATCCAGTGAACCTCCTGTTTTTGGTAGATCTATAGAAGCTGATAATGTTTTTACATTTTTAAATGGTTTAAAGCAGCGGTTCTCAACCTGTGGGTCTCGACCCCTTTGGGGGTCGAACGACCCTTTCACAGGGGTCACCTAAGAACATCGGAAAACACATTTTGTTTTTGTGATTAATCAGTATGCTTTAATTATGTTCAATTTGTAACAATGAAATTGGGGTCACCACAACATGAGGAACTGTATTAAAGGGTCGTGGCATTAGGAAGGTTGAGAACCACTGGTTTAAAGAAATCAAAAGAAGAAAAATATATCATAACAGATAAAACAATATGAAATTTCAGTGTCCATAAATAAAGTTATATTGTAACAGAGCAAACATATTCATTTGTATATCATCTGTGTATGCTTTCAAACCACAAAAACATCTGAGTAGCTATGACTGAGATCATGGCCTGCAGAGCCCAAGATATTTATTACCTGGGCCTTCACAGAAATGTTTGCAGACTGCTGCTCTAGTTCAATCTACCTCGCAAGTGTCGGCTCCCCTGTCCTCCACTGTCACATACCTTTGATGCTAGTCTTTGACTGAATCACTTGCCTGTGATTTTCCTGCCTTTATCATCATTTCTTTAATCTAAATGTTCCTTCTTATCCCTTACAAAATTATAGAAACTCCATTCATACAGCCCTCAGGACTCAAACTCTACATAGTCCTGTAAAGATTTCCTTGATACCAGAAAGAAAAATACCCACTACTTCTGCTAAAATAACAAAAAATAGCCACCAATACAGACAATATACCTTATCTCCCCAACAAGATTGCAAACATAGAAAACAGTGTCTATGAATGTTTTTAAACTATGTTCCACGGGACTCCATGGCTTAATGAGGCAATTGGGTGGATCACAGCAGCTTTTCATTAACCAATTTACACTTCAAATCTCAATATAAAACTGTCTGAAGAAAAGGAACAGGCAAAATTTTGAAAATCACTGACTTATACTATATGTAAACAAGTGTAGGATTTTCGAGGCAGAGGCTTCTGTGAAATAATCTCACATC